TTCTTGCTTTTCCAAACACAGATCTCAGAAGAAACGAAATTTAAGCAAACTCGTTATAATAAAATTCAATTTACATTTTATCATTTTTATTGAAACTTATTATTATAATAATAATATTATTATTATTAATTTTCATCGGGAAAACATTTCAAAGTGTCTAATTATTATGCTTTTTTGTCTTTTTTTATCACTATTTATAATTTATTTTGTATACTAGTACATTCTATATATTAACAGGACTTATTATACTGGAATTATGAATGCAGATATTTAGTCTTACAGTTCATAAATAATGTTCTTATTTAGTTCACCTGAACACATACATGTGTATGTGTTCAGGTGAACTAAATAAGAACATTATTTATGAACTGTAAGACTAAATATCTGCATTCATAATTCCAGTATAATAAGTCCTGTTAATATATAGAATGTACTAGTATACAAAATAAATTATAAATAGTGATAAAAAAAGACAAAAAAGCATAATAATTAGACACTTTGAAATGTTTTCCCGATGAAAATTAATAATAATAATAATATTATTATAATAATAAGTTTCAATAAAAATGATAAAATGTAAATTGAATTTTATTATAACGAGTTTGCTTGAATTTCGTTTTTTCTGAGATAGCAGAAATGCGCGACAGGTAAGCTAGTTTTAGATAAAATACAGTGGACCCCCTATAACGCAGAGATACGTTCCTCGTTATACGAATTTCGCGTTGTAGAAATCCTTGGGATGTGATTGGCTCACGTATTTGACACGTGTGCAGTATATGGACTACGGCTGTTTGAAAGGTTTTCTTCCATAAAATTAATTTATTCTAGACTAATTCGACTTAACATTTCTAAAATACGTATATTCGTTTTGGAAATAATCCGTATAAACTACGCTATAAACAAAAAATTGTAGGATTACTTACCGAGTGTGCACCATTCGACATCGCCGTTGCTCAAGCTTGTTTTCGTCGCGGAACAGCGCAGCAAACCGCGGCCGCGATTTCTGATGTTATTTTTCTGCGAAAACTTCGTTGAACTTTGGAGACATCATTAATATAAATAATTTTAATCG